TCGTGATTGTTTGTCTAAGTTTCTAGGGAAAATAAATACTGTAGTGGGGGTTTTAGAGGTTGTCCAGAGTAGGATTAAAGTCTCAAGGGATAGAATAATACAGATTTAAACACCGAGTTTTAATCGTTAAAACTATATGGAATTCTTATATGCCTCGCAGACCTGTTTGTATTCGGACATTTATATTTCTTAATTATATTAGAATTTTCTATGAGAGCTTGTCCACTACCAATTACGTATTCGTGAAATGGAAATACACGGTAGAAATCTATATTTTGCTAAGGATTAATTGATGGTCAAATTTTAAAATTTAATGCATCAATTTGTTGGACAGGAAATTAAAGGTATGATAAATTGCCTAAATTTTATTATACAGGTTATGGAACTAAGTAATCTAATATTTTTTTAGGTCCTGTTAATTATGAATACTGGGAATAGACTTATAGTTACAGACACAGTCCTGGGTGATCTAGCATTGGCTTTTGGGATGCGGTCCTAAGAAATGTTTTTTGCGTAATGGTTGTATTTTAGCATGTTTGTTAATTTACTTTAACATGCTTAGTGTGGAGTAGTTGATATTGATATTTATATTGTTAATGCTTAATCAACTGTTGGTTTTATTTCAGCATATTTGCTATTATACTCTAATATGCTTAGTATTGAATTGTTGATATTGAAATCTATATTGTCGATGCTATTATCAACTGTTGGATGGATGGGATTGTATGCACCAATATGGGACGTTGTCATACTAGGTTTGGATTAGCATAAGTTACTAAAGTCCTACCTATTTTGGAATAAGGGTACAGATTATAAAAACGGAATCCGCCTTATATTTAAGTCTGTACGGCTGAATAAGTTGAACGACTTACTGGAACTCTTACATAAGTCTATGCAGCTGAATAAGCTAAACGACTTTCTGGATTTCTTATGGATGGATAGGAATGGATCTTAAATATATTATTATGGTACCGTGACATGAGCTTGAGTCTCAGAGTCTACGGTTAGGGAGCGTATATGCAGTAGGATACGTAGCTGACTGTGTTGTTTGGGGTGTACCCTGTTAGGCTTAGGTAGTCATGCCCATTCCAGTGCGTTTTTGCATAGTGCCTTCTACTCAGGTTGAGACCCGCATCATAGTCTAGTGAGATTCCCTAGTGTGGATATATATTTATGTACGGATTATTAGCTATTGTTGAACTATTTAGTATGTGCATACGTATCGAGTCTCTACTTGGATTGTAGGAGGATAGAACTTGTTTGTGGGCCTAACCCACTCCTATTTTTTAGGTGTACGTCAGTTCCAGGCTTGAGCTTGTTCATGCTAAGCAGAGACGATCTTCCATTCTACCGATGATGTAGGACTTCTTTCCAGATATTGGATTTGGATTTTATCTTCAGTTTTACTTTCATTCAGTTTGGGATTTTTATTAGGGGTCCACTAGAGATGGATTCCCGAGTTGTTTAACTTATGGAGGTTTTGGATTATAGGGATTTAAGTATTTTTATTATTAAGGATTATGTATTAGATTTCTTCCAGCTCTTAAATTTTATTTCTTATTTCATTTTGTAATCTGTGTTCACTTTAAAATATTAATTGTTTGATATTCCCTCGGGTTTGGGCCTGGGCTAATCAACCCATGTCTCAGATCCGAGGGGTATCACACAACGATATCGTGGCAAGTTTCAGGAAAGAACTGAACGAGCGAATCAAGGGATTGAAGGCCCAAACGTCTGAAGACATGGCTAGAGAGTTCACAACCTCCATAATCAAAACCCCCTTTACCAATGAGATAGAACAGGTCAAGAGGCCAAAAAAGTTTGTCATGCCGAAGTTCATCAAATTTGATAGGGCCGGAGATCCGATGAAGCATTTAGACCACTATAGCCAGGAAATGACTCTAGATGCATGAAACGATCCGTTCTTGTGCAAAATATTCCCATTTAGCTTAACAGGGGTAGCACTGGAATGGTTCAAAAATAGACCCCACAAGTCGATCCAAGACTTCAAGACGTTGTGCACGGTCTTCCTGGTATAATATTATGGGAATAAAAAGTAGAAGAAGACCATATCTAGCCTATTTACCATACAGTAAATGAAAGGAGAAAAACTCTAAAACTTCCTGACCATGTTCAATATGGAATCCTTAGGAATTTCTGACTGCAGCCAAGCAACCACTGTGGAAGTAAGGGTTTAGATCAAAGTAAGAACAACTTAGGGATTGACTTCACCACTAGCATCATAACACGGTTAATTGTTTTAACTATAGGGAAATTTACATATGTATATTCGGGAATCAAGTAGCTACAAGCACACTAAGAAGCATATATGAATAAATACTAAACAATAACTTGTCTTCGGTTGGCACGAATTATCTGCCTAACTACTCTAATCTAAGGTGCAGTACAACTTGTCTTTCATAGGCATGAATTATCAAAACATTCATTTATACATATTCAATTAAGCACCATTGCATGATCACTACTTAAACCGTTAAGAGAAGCCATTAGCCGCCATTCTGTCACAATAAAAATAGTTTGAATTTGAATAAAGCAAAATTAATTCTAAGAAAAGAGATCAATTTCATCAAAAACCAATTATTTTCATTAAAAACCTAATTGCTTAGGAATACTAAGTCAATTGCTCACAACCATGCAATCAATATATATATAAAAATCTCCAAAGTTAATAACAATCAAACCATGCTACTCGGACTAGGGTTACATCAATTCCCTAAGGAATGCTTTAGCGACTCATGGAGAGGACGGATGTCATTATTGTTGGTGTAGAAGCCATCTCCATGGACCTCCAATTGGAATCTTCGATCTTCAAAGCTCTAAAAACCATCATAAGGCAGGAGAACCAAGAGAGAGAATAAAGAGATGGGGGGGGGGGGGGGGAGAGATTTTCAATGTGTCTTCTAATATTCTTTTATAGTGGAGAACAAGTCCTAATCCCCTTTGGATCGGCTTTACAGCTTTTTGGAACAATTGGACCCATAATGAAACAAAGAAAAGTGATTTTTCATTAATCTCGTAGCTTTTAGAAACTTTCAGGATGTTTGTGCTCAAGCACAGTTTCAACACTTAGTTTCTTTTCAGCAATTTTTTCTGAAGTTGTAAAGCTATTTTGACATATTTAGAATAAGAATCTCGAAATTACTATTAGAGACAAAAACACTGGGCTTTGCGTCTTTTTTCCACAACCGCTGAGTATACCTAATTTGGAGTTTAGAGTGAAAAGTTATGTCCAAAATACTGAAGTAGGTCCAGAATTTACATCAGTGCTCGAGCTTTGAGGGGTTGTGCTCGAGCACAAAGTTTTGTGCTTGAGCTGTGGGAGCTGAATTTTTCTGAAGCGTATTTTTCTTCAACACTTAGCTATTTTTTCTTGAATTTTATGATTCGTGCTCGAGCATAGAAGGTTGTGCTCGAGCTCTGGGAGCTAAATTTCATCATATCTTCCCGGTTGAGTCCTGAATCGACCTAAAAGGTCTGGAACTTCTCCCAAAGCATCGAGAACATTGCCATAAGATATAAATACATGGAATTGTCCACATCTTTGGGTAAAGACCTACAAAATGTAAATAAACAAAAATAAACATAAGAACCAAGATAAAAGTATCACTAAGGCATTAACATATGCGTGTTTAAGGGCTTAAATATGCAATATTCAGCGTTTATCAGTGGCACCATGGGCAAAATTTGCAGTGATTGGAGGGGAAACATATCTGGAATCTTCACGTTGAAGGGAGAGCTCTTGTTCATAGTTTATCATGAAGCTTTTCAAAAGTGACAGGGTTTTTCTTAGCACGAACAGCAGTAGCAATCTCTTTAAATTCTGGTCCAAGACCATTGAGAGCAAAGATTATAAGATCATCTTCGGCAATTGGAGAACTGACAAGAGTGAGTTCATCCGAGATGATTTTTAGGTATTCGTAAACCGGTTTAATGCCTCGAGTAAGGAGGGTGAGTCATTCCTTAAGATGCCTAACACGGGGAATGAGATCGGTTGACATAAAGCCGAGCAAGCTTGGTCCACACTTCTTTGGCAGTGGTGGAAGAGGAGACTAGAGAGACAACAGAATCCGAAAGTTAGGCAAAGATAGCATGGAGTAAAAGTTAATCTTGTCCCTTCCATAATGTGTATGTAGGATTTGGTAGGGTGGTGCCATTGGTGGTAATAATGGAAGATGAACTAGAATGGGAATCATCCAAATAGTAAATCATATCCAAACAAAAGGAAATGAAATTGTGCATGCCAAGAGGGATTGTTGGACTGGGTAAGTTTGAAGGGTAATTGGGCGTTAGCAGTAATGGAAATAAGGTTGGAGAGTGGTGGCTGATGTTGGGTTGACAATAAAGGCTGTGGAATGATCTTTGAAGTTTTCTCAGCCAAGATAACCAAAGCGAAAGAGAGAGAGAAAAAGAAAGACAAGTGAGTTAGCAGGAATAGGATGTTGCTCGGTAGAGCTAATGCATCTCTGATACCATATAGAATAAAGGTACTGAATGGCAAAAAGCTACTCATATTTTCATTACTATAGACAGATTAAATATACAAGCTGAATAACAATATACAGAAATTATACAGTTAAGTCTACGAATAAGGACTAGATTTGTCTGATCCATAATTAATGGGATTAACTCTTGCTTCTTCTGTCCTTGACTTGATTGCTTTCCTGATGTAGGTGCGGGTCTTTATTCGGTAAGCATTTGAAATTTAATTCCTTTAATTTGCATAAAATACAGGTAGGTCAGTGGGCAATTTATCGTGGTAAAAAAAAAAAAAAAAAAAAAAAAGTGGGCAATTTTTCATATTTTTTTATTAAAACTAATTTTTTAAAAGTACTTTTAATTATTTCATGTTAATCTTTTTATACTATTTTTTCTAAAAAACATTCATTTTCTTTACTTTTAATTATTTCATGTTAATCTTTTTATACTATTAATTTCTTTAAAAAACAAATTCATTTTTTTGCTATTTTCATCGAGGGCAAGAGAAAATGAATGAAAAATACAAAGTCAGTCATACATGCCACCGCGGTGAGCACAAGAGAGATAGCACTAGGGAGACGGCACCATTAACCCTTAATTAGCTTTGGAAGGTTTTCTGACCCTTTGAGACCTACTACACCTACACCTACCTTACCTGTTCCCACTTCCCAGTAATAGAGAGAGATTCGCAGACGATGTTTTTTTCTTGGCCGAATATCTGAATCTTTTGAAATCCTCCCTCCCTCCGTAATGGAAGCAGGTAAAACACACTTCTCTCTCTAAAGTTCTCTCTCTTTCTTTCTAAACCCTAAACTTCCTGTCTTGTGACTCTCAGATGCTGCTATTTTACTAGATATGATATTCAATCGACTCTTTTTCCACTTGGTATTCTTTTGATCTTTCCATTATTCATTTGATTTTTGGGATTTTGTGTCTATTGAGAATATTCCTCTTATCAATGGTTTGCTGTAATTCAGCAAATTCTAAGAATTGAATATGCACACTACCCAGAATTGGATAATTCTGAGCTATGATTTTCACTGTTCTGCCCAATTTATATCTTACTACAATAGGGCTTGCGTATCTTGATTTCTTGTGTACCCGGTAAATATAATCTCCTTTATTTTGTTTCTTTGGCGGTTTCAGGAATCAAATTGGTAGTTGACATATTCGAGTAGCTTTTAGTATAGATGAATAGAACTTGTATCTGCTGACAAAATTGAAAAATAAAATCTCAGCATTTATGATGGAAATTATAAATTTAAGCTACCCGGAATCATATTATTATTACTTTTTTTTTTCTTTTCTCGAGGAGTATTTTGTGAGCAGAATGGAAGCAGCTATTTATTGTCAATTTCGTGTAGTGCTGTACGATAAGTGTTGCTCATATTTTATTTGTCTAAATGCTTATCAGTTGACCAACAATGGCTTTCATCACCCGTCTTATCTATGCTTCACCTCTCCTAATCCTTGTACAGATACAACTTTGTTAAAAAAGAAAAGAAAAAGAAAGCACTATTTAATCTCTTCTTTGGTTCTTCCTTAAGTGCACCAATCTACCACCCTATGATGGTGGGCGTGCTCTCGATTCATGAATGGCTTTTGGAGTGAATCTGTTGTTATTTACGGATCAGCATTGGTGAGGATCAGCAATGTTAACATATTTATTCTAATAAAAATATGCAAAACAAGAATTCACTGAATTGCTGAGTTGTTATGTCTTCTAAGCCTTCCTACTTTTATTTAACATAAACTGCAAATCTTATAAAATACCTGTTTAGTTTTAAAAAAATAATGAAAACCAAGAACCTTAAAAACAATACTAAGTGGACATACCACTTGCTGTTGGCTTTGGAGTTTTTTTTAGTTTTCTTTTCCTTAGTCAAATTTTACGGCTACTCTACAATTTATCTGATGCAGATAAATAATTAAATCTATGTATATGTATTACCTAGATGCTCTTATATACGTGCTTTGGAGGTGTTCTTGCTCTCAAGCTAATTTCACAATCAATGGTCTCTCGCTCTTGCTCTCTTTCCCGCTCCTGCTTTCGCTCTACGCTTTGGCCATTCAGGTTTTTTCTTATCATTTTTTGTTCTTTATTTCCTAAAAGGTTTTGGTCCCTATTTTCTCACCAGTCTAATTCTTACCTTCCGACGAGTTCATAATTGAAGGTGGAAAGATGTTCAACTTTCAAAAATTCATAATCAAGCAAGGTGCTATCATGTTCTGTTTTTTTCTTTTCCTTTCTCCCTCAAGGTTTTAACTCTTAGCAGCCATTTGTTCCTCCAGATTTGTGTTACATGCTAACATAATTTCTTAAAAAAATCTTTTAATGAGTAAACCACAACAAAAAATCAACCTCTAAAATTCAATTTACACACCCAGCTTGTCTTACACTCTTTAAGACTATATTGATGACAAAAGCGCTTTGGTGTTTGTTTTGTTAAAATGATTGCATGAGTAAACAATATATATGTGACAGGTGTAACTAGAGAAGACCCAAAAAAAGAACAAAAAAAAAAAAGGTGGGCAAAATGAAAATATTTAGCTGTAGGGGCACCACACACAAAGACATATAAAGCTCTTGATTATTTGTTGCTTCAATTGCTTTCCAATGCAATTGCCAACTAACACCTGTTCGCTAATGTGGGGCCCACTAAATTCACACAGGTTTAATGCATGGAAAGTTATGATTACAAAGAGAAGAAAAAACTGGGCTGGGTTCTTGCCCACTGTAAGGAATGTCTTTGGTAATAAATAATTAAAATGAGGAAAGGACCATCAGGGTCAGAGTGAGAATTGGGCGGTGGAGATATATGTATATATATAGAGAGAGAGAGAGTAGAGAGGGAGTGTTGATCAGATTTCTTTCTCATTGAAACTTAAGGGAATTGTCAGACATCTTAGATGTTTTTTCTTCGTCGACGGAAGGAAGCTGTTGAGAAGTTTCCATCTGTTATGGAAGGTAATTGTCCCACTCTCTAAACCCTAATTGTCTTTCCGCCTTCACTCTCTGCTGACTATGTTATATTGTCTATGGTGAAGATTTTTGTTTTTATGTTTGTCAGTCATTAGTAAATTGTAAGAATCAATTCCCAAGATGTGGAGTAATATCAACTATGATTTTCTTTGTTTTGTGTATTTATTATCAATGTTAAGCCTTCTTGTATTGATCTAGATATGTGTAATGTTTTTCAGTTAATACAGCTGCTTTCTCTTTCTCTCTCCCTCTCCCTCTCTTGTAATTTTTTGGGAAGTTTAATTAAATCATTGCAAAATTGAATACCTGTACCTAACCAAAAAAAAGGAGCAATTATAACACTATAAATAAATCCAAATTATATAGAGAAAAAGGACAAACTCTGTTTTTATAGTTATTTTATCATCAATTCCAATCCAGACTGATTATGTTTTACTTTAGGGTTTGTTTGTAGTGGAAATAAAAGCAGCTATTGTTTGCAGTAGTTAGTAGTTATGTATATATTTATAAAGTACTGTGCTTATTTGTCAAAATACACTGTTGAGCTAAAGCGATATTGGCTAGCTAGTTGTCTCTATGCTAGGGGCCATATCTTGGTTTGATAGTAGTAGTCTGGCTCGTCAAGCTTGAGGATGTAAGTTTGATCATTGGGCAGCTACTTCATGAAAATAAGGACAAATGACTATGTCGTACCAAGTCACACCCCTCTTGGTAAAGCGCGCTACACTGGGTTGTGATGTCTTTTTTTATTTTATTTTTTTTATGTATATTTAAATACTGTCATGCATGTTCTGTATTGTGTTCTTGCTGTTGAATAGGTTGACAGAAGTTGTATTTTTCTAAGCCAACCAATCTACCTTGCTGAGTGAAAAAATTGGAGAGGTTTTTGTTATAAGTAAACATCTAACGGGCTCTCCATACCAAAATCAGAATCACTCCTTTTGGATTTGGGCATTTTTTATTTTTCCTTGTGCAAAATCAGCCATTCAGTAAATGAAATACAACAAGATCAATTGTATCATCAACCGATTAAGGACTAATGATGGATTGTAAATGTACTTCAGATTCTAGAGGTGAAGTGTGGGTTTAGAAATGTACGAAATGTCATTATGTATAAATACGTCATACTAGTTGGCCCTTCACTTTTGTTTGTAGTGGAAATGAAACAGCTATTGTTTGCAGTAGTTAGGAGTTATGTATATATTTATACAGTACTGTGCTTATTTGTCAAAATGCACTGTTGAGCTAAAGTGATATTGGCTAGCTAGTTGTCTCTATGCTAGGGGCCATATCTTGGTTTGATAGTAGTAGTCTGGGTTGTCAAGCTTGAGGATCTAAGTTTGATCGCTGGGCAGCTACTTCATGAAAATAAGGACAAATGACCATGTCGTACCAAATCTCACCCCTCTTGGTAAAGCGCGATCTACACTGGGTTGTGATGTCTTTTTTTTTTTTTTTTTTTCATATATATTTAAATACTGTCATGCATGTTCTGTATTGTGTTCTTGCTGTTGAATAGGTTGACAGTAGTTGTATTTTTGTAAGCCAACCAATCTACCTTGCTGAGTGAAAAAATTGGAGAGGTTTTTGTTATAAGCGAACATCTAGCGGGCTCTCCTTACCAAAATCAGAATCACTTTTTTTGGATTCGGGCATTTTTTATTTTTCCTTGTGCAAAATCAGCCATTCAGTAAATGAAATACAAGAAGATCAATTGTATCGTCAACCGATTAAGGACTAATGATGGATTGTAAATGTACTTCAGATTCTAGAGGTGAAGTGTGGTTTAGAAATGTACGAAATATCATTATGTATAAATACGTCATACTAGTTGGCCCTTCACTTTTGTTTGTAGTGGAAATAAAAGCAGCTATTGTTTGCAGTAGTTAGGAGTTATGTATATATTTATAAAGTACCGTGCTTATTTGTCAAAATACACTGTTGAGCTAACGCGATATTGGCTAGCTAGTTGTCTCTATGCTAGGGGCCATATCTTGGTTTGATAGTAGTAGTCTGGGTTGTCAAGCTTGAGGATGTAAGTTTGATCGCTGGGCAGCTACTTCATGAAAATAAGGACAAATGACTATGGCGTACCAAGTTTCACCCCTCTTGGTAAAGCGCAAGCTACACTGGGTTGTGATGTCTTTTTTTATATATATTTAAATACTGTCATGCATGTTCTGTATTGTGTTCTTGCTGTTGAATAGGTTGATAGTAGTTGTATTTTTGTAAGCCAACCAATCTACCTTGCTGAGTGAAAAAATTGGAGAGGTTTTTGTTATAAGTAAACATCTAGCGGGCTCTCCTTACCAAAATCAGAATCACTCCTTTTGGATTCAGGCATTTTTTATTTTTCCTTTAGCAAAATCAGCCATTCAGTAAATGAAATACAACAAGATCCATTGTATCATCAACCGATTAAGGACTAATGATGGATTGTAAATGTACTTCAGATTCTAGAGGTGTGAAGTTGTGGGTTTAGAAATGTACGAAATATCATTATGTATAAATACGCCATACTAGTTGGCCCTTCACTTTTGTTTGTAGTGTAAATAAAAGCAGCTATTGTTTGCAGTAGTTGGGAGTTATGTATTTATTTATAAAGTAGTGTGCTTATTTATCAAAATACACTGTTGAGCTAGAGCGATATTGGCTAGCTAGTTGTCTCTATGCTAGGGGCCATATCTTGGTTTGATAGTAGTAGTCTGGGTTGTCAAGCTTGAGGATGTAAGTTTGATCACTGGGCAGCTACTTTATGAAAATAGGGACAAATGACTATGTCTTACCAAGTCTCACCCCTCTTGGTAAAGCGTGAGCTACACTGGGTTGTGATGTCTTTTTTTATATATTTTTAAATACTATCATGCATGCTTGCTGTTGAATAGGTTGAAAGTAGTTGTATTTTTGTAAGCCAACCAATCTACCTTGCTGAGTGAAAAAATTGGAGAGGTTTTTGTTATAAGTAAACATCTAGCGGACTCTCCTTACCAAAATCAGAACCACTCCTTTTGGATTCAGGCATTTTTTATTTTTCCTTGAGCAAGACCAGCCATTCAGTAAATGAAATACAACAAGATCAATTGTGTCATTAACCGATTAAGGACTAATGATGGATTGTAAATGTACTTCAGATTCTAGAGGCGTGAAGTGTGGGTTTAGAAATGTACGAAATATCATTATGTATATATCTTCAGAAATACATCATACTAGTTGGCCCTTCATTTGTAAAGAAGAGGTGGAATGTTTTTTCTTTTTATTTTTTATTTTAAGTAATAAAAAAGAGGTGCAATCTTTTGTAAAAAGAATTCATTGAGAGACGGCATATGGGAGGAAATGAAAGGGGTGGGTCTATTAAACATTCCTTTTCTTTTTCCTTATTAAGAAACTACCTTAAAAAGGTGGGGTGTTCGGCTTTGACCGTCAATATTCTTAAATCGTTTATGAAAATTATAGAACAGGAGGGTTCATGGACCTTAATCCTAAGAAGAGGAAACAAATTCTTTCTTTTAAAAAATAAATGAAAAAGAAAAACTCCTGTATTACCAAATTCAATTTCCTTTTACGAATCATCAAGAAGTGCATTAATACTAATACAGTGGTTATAATATTAATACTAATGTTTGGACTGCCACATTGGGAAAGATTTTGACATTGGACAATTTGAGAAAGAGAGGCAACATCATTGTTAATTGGTGTTGTTTATGTAAAGCTGACAGTGAATCTGTGGATCACATTCTTTTGCATTGTCCTGTGGCGTATGATTGTTGGAGTTTTATTGTTTGCATGTTTGGCGTTTTCTGGGTAATGCCTAAGCACTCCTCACAATTGATTAACGCTTGGAAAAGGTGTCCTGTTAAAGAACAAGCTCGTGATTATTGGAAGATTGTTCCACATTGTGTCTGGTGGTGTTTGTGGCATGAGAGGAATAACAGATCCTTTGAAGGAAAAGAATCATCTTTAGCTAATTTAAAAATTCATATTCTTCGTTCTTTGTTCTGTTATGTAAGAGGAAATGCATGCTCCTCGATTGATGATTTCTTTGATCTCTTGGATTCTATTGGTCCTTAGACCTTTTTTCTTCTTGTATTAAGGCCGCGTTCCCCTTTTGAACGTTTTTCTAAAATATTTTTACTTATCAAAAAAAAAAAAAAAAGAGGCAATACAAATCAAAATAGGTTGTCCATATTTGGTCTTCCCATGCAAAATTTACCTTTTGTGGTCTATTTCTTAATTGAAGAATGCTCTTACTAATTGGAATCAATGAAATAGTAGAATGCTGAACATCTTTCAATCTAGTGAACTTATAAATGATAAATTGTCATTAGGGAGAGAAAATCTGGTTTTCTTAGATCTAGCAGAATGGCAAAACACGATTCATGTAGATGACCCTAAATTGTCGGAAAAAGGCTTTGTTGAGTTGAGTTGCACTAGCTATTAGTGAGTGATGATGTCTCTTTGGGTTAAGGTAGATACACAAATATACACACATATAAAAAGAGAGTTAAAATTTTAGGTTGAGGTGTGGTTAGAATCTAAATTTTTTATTTCTTGATTTCATGTTCTGCATTCACATTATCTTAAGATTTCCTTATTAAAATTATAATTAGTTGATATATACTCTTAGGTTCTAAAATATCCTTAGTAATTGTACTTTTTTCTTACATTGAACAACACACAACCCCCCCCCCCCCCCCCCCCCCCAACCAAAACCTCTTTCCCTTATTTTCCCATCTTAATGTGTGTTTTATAAGAATCTTGCAAATTTGTTAAAATAAGGTTCTAGATAACCTCCTTGCAGTGTTAGTGACCTTTTGTTTTTACATTATAAGTCACAAAAAAACACTACACCCTGTAATAGTACACAAGAATTGCTTAAAAGTTTAGACTCCATATCGTTGACAATATAACCTTGCGTTAAGTTCAACCCTTCATCTCTGAAATAGTGGAGCTTTCTAACACAAAACATCTTTGTCTCATGTTTTCCAAGTGGATTACATAGATTGTCGTTCTACTTGTCTATTTATCGCCTCACATGACACATTTAATGATGAATCTTCTGAAAAATAGATTTGTGTCAGCTCTAGAATCCCAAGTCTTTTTTAAGATGCCAACATTTATACTGCTAGGGAGTGTCACTTTGCCAACTTGGAAGTGGATTTATGAGCAAATGGTCGGGAAACCCATTTGTAAAGACCCTCACCCTACCTGACACAATATTGTCCGCTTGGCTCCCCTAAACCAGAGACTTCTTAAGAGGTCACCTATCCTGGTACTACTCTAGGTTAAACACGCTTAACTCCGGAGTTCTGATAGGTTCACAACTATCACAACTTTAAAACGCGTTGTCTGGAGTTAGAGATACACCGCCGAACCGTGGCCTACATTGGTTCACCCCAGGCAATATTGTCCTCTTTGAGTGCCTGCCAAGAGTCGAAACCCCGACCTTGGTGCCTACCACGCTTCTACTATGCCATTATGACACCAGACAACGCGTTTTAAAGCTGTGATGGCCGTGAACCTATCAGAACTCCGGAGCTAAGTCACACAATCCTTCTCAATAGGTGTCGCTTTCATGCTTCGAGTGTACTCCCGCTCTTACACTCTGTGCGCGTTTTCGCTCAAATTCTCACTGCTTATAACTTAATTCTGCTGCTCTCACGTTCCCGATCTCAAATTCGCTCTTGCTCCCGCTTTATGTGACTTAGCTTTTCGGAGTTAAGTGTGCTTAACCTAGAATAGTACCAGGATGGGTGACCTTCTGGGAAGTCTCCATTTTGGGGGAGCCAAAAGCAGACAAATGGTATCAGAGCCCAGTTGGAAGTGTGGCCAACGAGGACGTTGGGCCCCATTTGGGGGGGGGGGGGTGATTGTGACGACCTCTGTGGCCGGGTGCGATCATACCAGTACTAATGCACTGAATCCCATCAAAACTCCAAAGTTAAGCATGCTTACTTTGGAGTAGTACTAGGATGGGTGACCTCCTGGGAAGTTTCTGGTCTGGGGGAGCCAAAAGCTGACAATATCGTGTCTGAGTAGGGTGAGGGTGGGCTAGCCTGTGCCTATTTGCTTACTTTAATTAATTTATTTTTTTCTTATGATATGGGATTGATATTTTTAGGCTACAGTGATAGTTTAGTGTCTTTTCACTATGCCTAAGGGATTTTCATCTCAATCAAGTAGATCAAAACCATTTAATTGTGTTGTGAAGAGGTGTGAACTCTTCTTTTCAGTGGCTGGTTTAGAAAATTTCTGGAGATTTGTCCCAGATTTCATCTTTTTGTGCACACTTCTCATGGGTATCTGATGGTTGGATGGAGAGATTCCACCTACTGTAAAGACTACTGTTCTGTAGCTGTTACGTTTCATTTGAGGTTATTGGCATGATAGTGGTATGTTTTCTTGGTTGATACCAATGTTTTAAGCCTGTACTCGTTGGATCGTTCAACCATCCAAATTGCCATCTGCTTGCCTGCATGGTTTAGAGCATCTCAAAATCATTTTATATATACTAGTTTCTTTGAACCAACGTTCAACAACCACCGTTGATGTTTAAAAAGGAATTGCTTCTCTATTCACTCTGTTACTTGCTTTCGGTAAACAGACGATTTGGAGCCTCATATTGTTTGTGATAAGTGGAGACAAGCAGCTGCTGACACGGGATATTTTCCATGGTTGTTTTCCATCTCTTCTGAGTTTTAGCCAGCCAAATTAACTTGTCTATTGAGGGATTTTTTTTTTTTAATAATTTTTCTCTGTTTTCTCCCTTTTCAGACTTTTTTACTTATAAAAGCTAAAGACAGTACACTTACCAGAAGAAAAAAAAAAAAGCCAAGACAAAACAATAAGTTACTTTGCCTCCTCGCTCATGCTTTTCCCACAAGGGTTCCTTTATTTTGATCTCATCAAGTTCATTCATTTTCCTCCCAAAAGTATTTTCAGATAGAATTCTTAGCAGAGGCTGGTAACTATTACCTGTTCTTAGATATGTGTTTTGTTGTGTGTGAATTTGATCTTGTTGTATGTGTGAATTTTATCTGTTCTCAGATACTGTTTTTGATCTAAATGTTAAATTCAGTGTGAATTTGACTGTCACTCTGGAAAAAAAAATTATTATAGTGTTTGGAAAAGCTGCTCTATATAAAGGGATGTTTTTTTTGGTTTTCTGCTACTACTGGCTTCAGATATATTTTTGACCCTTTCTTTTCATTTATTGTGTTTAAATTCACTTTATAATTACACATCATCATCAACTTAGTGATGTCAGATGTGGGCATTGAACTGCTGCTATTATAATAAGATGCTGGCTCTTGACTATGGATCTTACTCGCTAGTAATAGCATTGCTTGATTTTCAATAGTTGCCTTTTTGCATGTTATCTTTTATTACTCATGTTTAACTCTACTTGTAAACTTTATAAAATTGATGTTGTGAGAAGAAATTCCAATGACCCAGCTGACTTTTCTATATTATGAATGCACGATATGTGATAGGTGGATCACCAGACTGTGAATCTGTAGGGTCTGGGACAAAAAAGTCCAGTGTATCATCAGGTAATAGGTCTTGGAATCGCAAGGAATTTCTCCGTAGGTTTGTGGACAGTGAAATTTTGACCGCTAACCTTGAGCAATGGTTTGAAGAAATAGCAAAAATATCAGCACATAGAACACCGGCCTTTGACGTTCCTTTTGAGTTGATTGATCTTCAAAAGTTTGACTATGCTTTGGAAGGGGTCTGCTTTCAGCAGCTGATTCGGATGCCCAGTGCTGTTTATGCTTCAACATCTGGTGCTGTGGAAGCTACTGCTTATCTTGCTATTGAAGATTTTCTACATGCAAGTGTAAAGGGCTTGTGGGAAGCGTTCTGGAGTCAGGATGCGCCTATGCCTTTCGATGTTGCCTGTCTTTATGATACTAACTTGAAATTCTACCAGGCTGAGAAGGCAGTTGCTAATGGGAAACTTGGAGGTCTATGTGCTACGGGTATAATGCTAAAGAACCCTAGACATCCACATGGGAAGTGGGATGATATTCTTGAAATAGCACTTCTGAGGCCGGATATTGGAAGCCTTGCGGTGGAGAGTAATCGAAAGCCTTCTCTCTCTATTATAGGCGAAGCTTTATTCTTCGCCCTTCGTATATTATTAGCAAGAAGCCTCAGCCGATCGAATATTCTTGAGAGTTCAAATTCTGTTTTTGTTCTACTCATTGATTCTCAATATGGTGGGGTTGTAAAAATTGAAGGAGATGTGAATAAATTGGAGTTTGATGTGAATAATGTTTATGAATGTGCTGTTGAATGGATAAAAAATTATTCAAAAGTTTCTGTTTCCCCTGTTGATAGGATCTGGAACAAACTTGGAAATGCCAACTGGGGAGATATTGGTGCTCTACAGGTACTTTTTGCAACCTTCCATTCTATCATACAATATGCTGGAATGCCCACACACACTGTTGAAGATTTAGCTGCCGACCACAGTTCTCGTCTGCAAACAAGAAGAATTGAACGGCAGTTGGGTGATACCAGAATGAATGAAAATGGTTTATTCCGGTTCCAGCAGCGCAGTGTTTCCCCTGAAATTGTTGAAATACAGGAGGAATCCAACAAAGTAGAGTCTGAAAAGTTAATGAAGCTAGAAGTAGGATCTGTTCTGTGGTTGGAGGATTCAAACTGGCAAAAGGGTTATCAGATTAATGAAGTTTTAAATGATGGCGAAGTTCCATTTTATGTTGCATCTTCTGTTGAAAATCCAGGTAAGGCTCTGTTTCTGTATATTGGTTCACATCCTTCTCAACTGGAACCGGCCTGGGAAGATATGAAGTTATGGTATCAAGTTCAGAGGCAGACCAAAATATTGACTGTTATGAAACAGAAGGGATTGTCTAGCAAATATCTGCCACAATTGAATGCATCTGGCAGGATAATTCACCCTGGTCAATGTCTGAGGCCAAGCTCAGGTGGAAACTGTGACCATCCTTGGTGTGGGACCCCAATTCTTGTGACCAGCCCAGTTGGCAAAACAGTAGCTGATATGGTAAGAGTTAACCGTTTTGGTTCAGATGAGGCTATTAGGTGTTGCCGTGATTGTTTATCTGCACTTTCAACGGCTGCTTCTGCTGGAATTCGGCATGGAGACATCAGGCCTGAGAATGTTATTTGTGTGAGGTCTGGTGTGAGGCAGCCTTATTTTGTCATTGTTGGATGGGGGCATGCCATTTTGGAAGAGAGGGATCGCCCAGCAATGAATCTACATTTTTCATCTACTTATGCCCTTCAGGAGGGGAAGTTGTGCTCGGCTTCAGATGCAGAGAGCCTGGTTTATTTGCTTTATTTTTCTTTGGGTGGGGAATTTCCTGACTTGGATTCAGTTGAGGGGGCACTGCATTGGAGAGAAACCTCTTGGTCAAAAAGGTTGATTCAGCAGAAGCTTGGAGACATCTCTGCTGTCCTCAAAGCATTTGCTGATTATGTTGACAGTCTATGTGGAACACCATATCCTATGGATTATGATATTTGGCTAAGAAGGTTGAGGAGACATATTCATGAGGAAGAACATGGGAAGGAAATTGACACATCGAGTTAAGTTTATTGTGGTAGCTGCAGTGGTAGAACTGAGCCCCTGCAGACCTAGGTCACAAGCACTTTTGAGACTGAGATGGTTATTTTTTGGATATTCTGTTAGTATGAAAGTTGTAGCTTCTTGTAAAATTTATTGGATGATCTATGAGTCATAATTTCTTTGGGATAAATGGTCCGTGGTGCCATTTCTATTTCTTGAGAATGGTTTAATTGTGTGTCATGGAGCAGCTAGCATGATAATTATTTCTTGATTATTATTTGAGCTTCTCTTTGTTGTATTTTCAGAGGATTGAGATGCATGGTCCTTGGCTGGGATTCACTGAGCCGTCTGGTGCTTGTTTGGATGAAATTTCCTAGTATTATAGAGGACTTAAATTATCCTTGATTTGTGCAAATGTGATGAGTTGTTATGCAGATCTTGTATCGACCACCATTATTTATTGTAAAGATTGGAGCTGTTCAGATTATTTTAAAATCTATTGTTGTTCTTCTTAAGGTTATTGAACTTGCTGGGTATTCTATGGCATTCGTGGTGACATCATCCTTTCGTAAATGAGTCACTTTTATGCTTATTTGGGACCACCTGATTTTTAATGACTTGCATTCTGGATAACATGCACTGTCATCTCTTTCTGGTTTTCCAGTTTGATCTTCACAAGCATCTCTTGTCCCCTCTTTGCCATTTCCTCATGCCAAACAATTGAAAAAATGACTACGGCCTGGTGATCTTAATTTGGATTTCTGTGAATACTGTTTGTTGCTGACGCCTTTTGCTGGCTCAGAAACAAGAACTCTCCTTGCCAGTTGTTGGAACAACACAAGTGCAGCTGAGCATTGATTCAGAAAGATGAAGGGGCACAAGTATCACATCTTAGTAAGTTGATAGATTATGATTGCTTATGTATTATTGCTTCCGTATGGATACATTTTTATACCTTTTTGTTTGCTAAAATGTATGATGGCACCGAGTGCTTGTACTGCATAGGGACTATCTGAAACATGGACCTCCCTAAACTCAGTCCCACCTCATGTCAAGTAAACTAAGGTGCATTGGTTCACGTATGTACTCTCGGTAGTACAATTACTATTATTTCTTGTTAGATCAATCGGACAGTTTCGTGTCTAAAACTTGTGTTTGTAATTTTATTTTTGTTTCTAGTTAAAATTTTGAGTGTGTGTTAGTTACCTCTTGTCCAAGGGTAAAATTGGAATTGAAGCTACGATTAAGGTCAAGGTGATCTTCAATACCAAGGGTATAAAGTTAAATTTGACACTCATATATGCATTCACCAATTTAGTGTTGGAAGATGATAGTTGTGACAACTAATATTACCTATAATTAGCTCCTTTATTTTAGGGATTTAATTATCATGATTGATTGCTATAAGTTAGGGAGTTGATTATTATGATTACTGGAAGTTAGGAGCAGATTAGGAAGCAAATTGTAGGAATTTGTTTGACTTTCTTTCCTTGTATAATTTTTTGTCTTTCCTATATATACTTGTACAAGATGTAGACATATTAAGAAGATCAAATATACAGAGAATTTTTTCTCTAAAATTCAACACGGTATTAGAGCAATAGTGTGAAAAGAGAGAAAAGTACCAATGGGTTTGAGCGTGGCCTGGGTGGATCACTGATCTGAACGATTACCGTCTTGACACCATAGACATGGAAACATGTTTGAGGTTACCTCTAATTTTTCTGGTTCTATCCTCAAAAGATGCTTCCTGTAAATAAGCCAATATAGGTAACTTTGAATTAGCCTCGAGCACTTCTAGTTGTGATGAGTACTACTGATCATATGACACGTGAATCCAGTTTTTTTAACTTTATTTTTATTTTTATTTTTTAATTTTTTATTTATTCTTATATCACTCATCCTAGCACAAAGAGAGTTAATACAACAAATGGGTCTTCTTCTATTGTGCCTGGGGAAGGTTCTATTCCTATAACTTCTTCTATGTCTCTCTACTGTCTTACACGTTCCATGTTTAACTGCTAACCTATTGTTGATTAATCAGATTACTAAGACTCTTAAATGTTCCGTAACATTCTTTGATACTCATTGCGTCTTTTAGGATCTTCTTACGGGAGCGAAGATTGATCTTGGTAGAGAAAGAGGTAGTCTGTACTATTTGGATATGAATTGGCATCCGGATGGAAAAACAAATAAGGTAGTGGGCAAGTCAACATCAGAAGAGCAAATTTGGTTATGGCATAGAAGATTAGGACACCCCTCATCTAGCTATTTGCATAAGCTGTTTCCATCTTTATTTTTCAGAGTTGATGTTTCTAATTTTCATTGTGATAGTTGTGTTAGCCAAACACCATCGAACTTTTTATCCTTCAAGTTATAATAGAAGTTCTGTCTTTCTCAATTGTTCACAGTGATGTATGGGGGCCATCCTATGTTCCTAATCATTCAGGTTCTAAATGGTTTGTTTGTTTCATTGATAACTGCACTCGTGTTTCATGGATCTATGAGTTGAAAGAAAAGAGTGAATGTTTTTTCCACCTTCCAGTCCTTTCACCAAATGGTTCTTACCCAGTTTAACACGAGAGTACAGTATCTACGATCACATAATGGAGGGGAGTATTTTAAGAAGGGTCTTGGTGTCTATTTTCAGGCTCATGGCATCATTCATCAAACTTCTTGGCAGAATGGTGTAGCAGACCGTAAGAATGGCCATCTCTTTAGAGGTCGCTAGATCATTACACTTTGCTATGAATGTTCCTAAATCCTTATGGGGAGATGTTGTCCTTGCAGCAGCATACCTCATTTATGGAATGCCTGCAAAAGTTCTTAATTTCCAAACTGCTCTTCAGTCCATGCCCAAAACACACTCTGTTTCAAACCTTCTTCACATACCACCCAACGTGTTTGGTTGTATCTGTTATACTCATATTCACAAACCACACCGGAGTAAGCTGGATCTGAGAGCACTCAAGTGCATATTCTTGGGGTACTCTGCTACATAAAAGGGATACAAATTTTATCACCCTTCTTCAGCAAAGATGATTATTTTGATGGATGTTACTTTTGTTGAAGATTGGCTTACTATTCAGGGGGAGATTCAGACACTTCTCTTCAAGGGGGAAAATTTGGAAAATGAAGAGAAGCCTTGGGATGTGCTTCCACTACCTTTAACCAGCATATCATCTTCTGCTGGAAATTCTGCACCGACTACGAAGGAATTCCTCGAGCCACATAGATTGGTATACTCAAGAAGGGAGAATACACACACCACTCAACCACCTCTAGATCAACCCAATTACCAATTTGGCGCTATTGTGACAGGTAATCCTGAGGTAGTCGGAGTTCCTTCTTCTGAACTATCTATTGATACTCCTATTGATGAGTCAACTCAGTTACCTATTGATCAATTTGATTAATCACATGATGATACTCAGTTAGTTCTTGAAAATCAGGCTCGTTACCCCACTTGGGAAAGAAAACCTCCCTCTCGTTATGGCTTTCCAGTTGTAAAATATCCCCTCATTGTGTCTTCACATCGTTTATCTTCATATAATAAAGTATTTACAAACCAGTTGACCTCCGTGTCTGTCCCTAATAAGTTATAGGAAACTCTTACTTATCAAAAAAAGAAAAAGTTATAGGAAGCTCTTGACAACCGAAGTGAAAAGCTGCCATGATCAAAGAAATGGAAGCTTTACAGAAAAATTCTACATGGGAACCAGTTAAGCTACCAGAGGGAAAGAAGAGTCAAAAGACGGTTGCAATCGGGTATTCACAGTGAAGCATAAAGCAGATGGTTCAGTGGAGAGGTTCAAGGCAATATTGGTAGCTCAAGGCTATTCCCAGATCTATGGGATAGATTATCAAGAAACATTTGCACTGGTGGCGAAGATAAATACTATCAGGGTCTTCTTATCCTAGGTTGCAAATCTGGAGTGTCCTCTTCAGCAGTTTGATATGAAGAATGCATTTCTTCATGGAGAATTAGAGGAAGAAGAATTCATGGACTTTCCTCGTGGCTTTACTAATCCCTCTAAAAGAGGTAAGGTATGCAGATTGAGGAAATCCTCGTATGGACTCAAGCAATAACCTAGAGCTTGGTTTGGTAGGTTTACTCAGGACATGAACAAGTATGGATACCACCAGAGCCAATCTGATCACTCTTTTTCTTAAACATTCACTCGGAGGTAAGATTGCCGCCTTGATCATGTATGCAGATGATATTGTGGTGATTGGTAGTGATACCGAGGAGATGGGTAAACTGAAAACATATTTGGAAAAAGAATTTGAGATCAAAAGGCCTTGTTTTTTTACAATATTTTCTAGGCATTGAAGTTGCTAGGTCAAAGCACGGGATCTTTGTTTCTCAAAAGAAAATATGTTCTGGACTTATTAGCTGATACTGGAATGCTGGCTTGCAAATCTATTGATACTCCAATTGAACAAAATTACAAGTTAGGTGAAGGCACAAATGATACATGTGTAGACATAGCCTATGCAGTGAATGTAGTAAGTCAGTTCATGCGTACTCCTTGTAAAACACACATGTTGGCTGTACATACGATTCTCAGATATTTAAAATTTTGCATGGGAAAGGTTTGTTATTCTCCAATCTTGGCCATCTCGAAGTAGAAAGATATACAGATGTTGATTGGGTAGGATGTGTAATAGATAAAAGATCAATTTCAGGATATTGCACGTTTGTGGGAGGGAATCTAGTCACATGGCGGAGCAAGAAACAATTTGTTGTGGCCAGATCTAGTGCTGAAGCAGAATTCAGAGCTATAGCTCATGGTATATGTGACATGTTGTGGCTGAAAGCTTTGTTAAAGGAGTTGGGCTTTAAGTCTAGTGATTCGATGAAGCTTTTCTGTGTTAACAAAGCTGCCATTAGCATTGCTCATAATTCAGTTAAGCATGATTGTGCTAAGCATGTTGAAGTGGATAGACACTTTATCAAGGAGAAGTTGACAGGAGGATCAATTTGCACTCCGTTTGTGAAGACAACAATTTGCCGATATTTTGACAAAGGGAGTGTTAAGCGGAACTTTCAATTTGGCACTTGACAGGTTGGGCATTCGAGACATTTATGCTCCAGCTTGAGCGGGAGTGTTGGAAGATAAGAGTTGTGACAGCTAATATTAGCCATATTTAGCTCCTTTATTTTAGGGATTTAATTATCATGATTGATTGCTGTGTAAGTTAGGGATTTGATTATTATGATTACTGTAAATTAGGAGCACATTTTAGGGATTTGTTTGACTTTCTTTCCTTGTATAATTTTCTGTCTTTCCTATATATATTTGTACAAGATGTAAACATATTAAGAAGATGAAATGTACAGAGAATTTTTTCTCACAAATTTAACACGTAGGATTCATGCATTCACCAATTAGAGTTTCATGCAGTTCATGTTTAATTCTTGTTAGAATGTTTATGTTGGGTCATAATGTAATTACGTATAGTTGGTAGGGTCATTATGTAATTAGCTTATTCTTGTATCTTTATATAAGCCTCTGTAGGCTTAGGGTTAGATATATATGAAATACACAATTTCTGTAGCCTCCATGATCTCTCTCGCTCTCTCTCTCTCTCACACATTAGTTTGAACATGGTCTCAGAGCAGTACGAAACAATGGGTGTGGGAAATTGAAATTGTGTTTGTGATTACAGCTGTGTTCTTGTACATATTGAAATCGAGATCGAGGTCGAATATGTTCTTCGCCGAAGGTTTGGCCGTCGTTCTGTTCAGAGCTGAAGGTTTGAAGCTGTCGTTGTGTTCAGCGCTTCTTGTCCGTCGTTCTCAGATCTGAAGCCCTTCGTTTTGTTGGCTGGTGGCTGCCTTGGCTGTCGCAAGTTGCAGAGGTTCCATCATCTCGAACCATCTCTGCTCGTTAGTTAGGTTGTTGCTTGTGTTGGGTTGTCGCCGCCGCTGCAAGGGCTAGGGTGTGTACTTGCATCGATTCTCCATTGCGAACCTTGGGTGCTTGATTTTATTGTTGGTGGCAGATTTCTGGTTCTCGCTGGAGCTGATTATGAAGAAGGGTGGTGTTTGGCTGTAGGCGTGAAGTTATCCCAGCCTTGGTTTACTAAAACAGGAATAGCAGGGAATTGGTTTTGACCAGG